TTAATCTAGTTTGGGCCACACTTGAGAGTGTTGTCAGCCACGTATTTGATGTTAGGCAACTCCCTAAGACTATAAATTGCAAAGAAGGTATTTACCTGTTTTGGTGGAGTCAGTTTCCTTACCTGAGAGTTGTCTAAGCCAATGAAATCGTGGGTCTATTTATATGAGTCAGGAATGACTTAATGAAGATTTCATTCATCTCTATTTATTACCTCTCTTTTATGAGATTTTTAATGAAAGAACACTTATATTTCATTTGGCATGAATATTTTATGCTGATGATAATAGGAAGGATGCTATTAAATTTGCTCATTTTAAATTGCCATTTGAGGCTTTCATTGCTTTACATGAGAGCTGGATTGTAAATTGACTAACATCAGTGCTCCTACTACTTATTGGCTTACTTGTAGAACACCACTTATACTGCTTTATTATTTTTGCCAGGAGTTGCAGAAACTGGATTTTATTAATTCAAAAATTTTTCAAATGAAAAAATTTCCTGTGGGATATGGCACACTAATGAAAAAATTAACATCTGAAAATATTTGACCTTTCAACTTGATCATATTGTCAGCTATGGCTGTCTCTAAAACCTCAGTGAATACTTAGATGAAACGTCAGTAATCAATACAATTTCCTATCAAAAAGCATGTTGGATATAGCAACAGATAATTCTAAATATGGAACAGAGATTTATGATTTTCCTGAAAGTGCAGTTCTCCCTTAAACAGTTCTCTGTTATCCACTGTGACGTAGTTTGGCACTGTGCTGGACCTGGAAACAGGAAAATATGTTCAAATCCTATTCGTGACAGTGAATGGGTAGAGTCAACAGTACTTATTAAAGGCATACTCAGGCATTCCAGCCCTGTGCTAGGAATAAAAATACAGAAATGATACTATTTCTGTTCTCTCAAGAAGTTTACATCCTAATGGGAAGTCTGGGTTGGAACAGGTTTACAGAGATCATAAGGGATCTAATTTTAAAGAGCATTCAGTTGACATTGCCTTTTCAGAAGTAACGTTAGTATTGATTTGATTTCTGTGCACAGGGCAAGAGGTAGAAAGTAGGGAAGGGAAATATGCACCCTGTGCAGGGAATATAATAAAATAAGCCACTGGAAAGCTGGATGAGATATGAAGCATGGTCTCATCTGCCATTGGCTAGATCTATTGGGCTAAGTACTTTCACCTTTATTTTCCAGTCAAGACAGCATAGCTCCAGATGAGAATTCTGGCACTGATAGGTAGTTGCTGGCCAGATAACCATTACTGCTTTATAGTCTGTAGTCTTCAGAAATTAAAATTGAGAGGTATGTGGAAGGAGTTAGAGTGGGATTGTTTATGGAGTCTCAAAGTTTCCACCCAGGAAGATTAATAAAAAGAAAAACAAGCCTGAGAGCATTAGTTGTCCAGGATATAGCTCTTTGTTCTAAAGACCTGGGTGCTTGAAAATCTTATCCTGGGTACATGAGCGGCTCCTTCACCAAGACTCTGAGGGAACAAGAGAGAACAACTCAAGGGAAGACTCTTGGTTGACCTCAGGAAAGAGTTTTTACCTAAAAGAAAAAATAAAATCTGATGGATTTTTAGCTAAAAGAGTATGACAGCATGTGCTCTTCTATTTAGGAAGAAATAGCCAAGAATTTCAGCTAAACCAGAAACTGGAGACATTGGGCAAATATCCAGTTATGATTAGGCATCCATTGAAGCAAAGTCCTGCTAAGCAGCATTCAATGGAGCAGCGCCTTTTTGTGAAGTCTGCGTGTCTGGATGAGTAGTGTCCAGCAGAGACTACATTAAGAAGCCTCCAATAAAAAGTGTCCCGAGCAGCTTCTATCTGACCACTCTAGAGGAGATCACATAGCCAGCAAAACAGTACCTAAAGGAGCACCAGCCATCTGAGTAGCATCAGGAAGAGACTATGAGACCAGTAGGAGAAAACATGGAGGGAACCATATGATGATAACATAGAAGACGTTAGTGGTCTTACATGAGCAGAGGCATTAACTGTGCCTTCATGTGTGTGCTCTGGCCATATGTACTCCTTTTAAATATGTCTTACCACTGTGTAGCCTGTCTACATATACGCTTTAGTTGTGTACCCTTTCATGTGTTCCCTTCATGTGGATGCTTTTCCCATTTATGTATTTGTAGGATGGTGAGCTCCAAGTTTATGGAGAAAATGTTTTATTGCCATTTTTCTTACTGTGCTAGTTCACTAAACTACTTTACTTCCAAGTAATTGTGTCATATTGCTTATTATTAAAGGTGAACACCTTACTAGGGGCTCTTGAGCTATGATTTTAGAGAATTCAGAAGCACACCTGGAGTAGTTATTCTCCATGACAGCCTTGTGATTTGGAGGGCATCACTAGGCACCACAAATATAAATACTAAAAAATAGACATAAATGTCACTTGTTTTGTTGTTATTTAGCTGTTTTTCAGTCATGATCCAATTTGGAGTTTTCTTGGCAAAGATTCTGGAGTGGTTTGCCATTTCCTTCTCCAGCTCATTTTACAGATGAGGAAACTGAGGTCAATAAGGTTAAGTGACTTGACCAGAATTACACAGCAAGTAAATGTCTGAGGACAGTTTTGAACTCAGGAAGATGAGTCTTGCTGAATCCCAGTCTGGCACTCTGTCCACTGCCCCACCAAGCTGCCCAAATGTCAGTTCCAAGGACATAATTAAATTTAGCAAACATATATTAAATACCTACTATGTTATGTGCAAGGCACCATTCTAGGCATTGGGAAAACAAAGATTAAAAAAAAACCACATAGTCCCTGCTCTCAAAGGGTTTATAGTTTTTAGGAGAAAGGATGTAACATATACACAAATGATTATTCACTAGTCAAGACAGCACAGTTCCAAATTAGAATTCTAGTAGTTGCTGGTCAAGTAATCATTACCTGCTTTATAGTCTTCAGAGATTAAAATTTAAAGGTATCTGGAATGGGTTAGAATGGGGCTGCTTATAGAAGCCCAAAGTTTACTCTCAAGAAATCTAGTTTAAAAAAGTCTGAGAGCATTGATTGGCTGGGATATAGCTCTTTGTGCTAAAGACCTAGGTGCTTGGGGTTGAGGATCTTGTCCAGTGATAGAATGTATAAAACCCACAGTCCATTAACAAAGCCCTAGGATCACATGGACTGGGTTTAATTGGAGGCTTCTAAGTAAAACTCAGTAATGTCTTGTGTCCCCTACCCAGTGTTTCTTCCTAGAACATCAAAATTTGTATTGTATCTAGGTTTCCCGCAAAAGGGAAAAGACTCTTCAGTTCCCATGCAATTAAAGCAGTTAGGTGGTACAGGGGACAGCATGCTGGGCCAGAGTCAGGAAGACCTAAGTTTAAATCCAGTCTCAGACATTTACTAGATGTGTGACCCTGGGCAAGTCATGTAACATGTTTGCCTCAGTTTTCTCAACTGTAAAATGGGGATAATAATAGTATCTCCTTCCCAGGGTTGTTCAGAAGATCAAAGAAGAAAAAAAAATATGTAAAACTCTTAGCACAATATCTGGTACATAATAGGTGCTTAGTAAATGTTTATTTCCTCTTTTCCTTCCTTATTTCCTTCCTTTCTTCCTTCCTTCTTCCTTCCTCAAGCCACTATCTGCCTCCTCTGTGTCCTCTCTTTCTGATCTGCTGGTTCCTTCCTGAACTTTCATTTAAGGAGTATCCATGTCTAGCCATGTCTTCATATCTCCCCAGGCTACACTCCTGACTCTCTCAGACTTTCTCTCCAATCTCCTGTGCCCATTTTTCTTGAGGGCAGGGACCATCTTTCTTTCTGCTTGTATTCATATTCCCAGCACTTAACATAGTCAAGCTAAGAAGACATGGAATTTACACAGTGATGTGCAAAATACTTGGGACAAAGTAAAAGAATTAAATATATTGACTTATACAATAAACCTTAAAATTCATACATCTTAAAAATTTTTTAAATATGCAATGTGTCCTTATTTTGCTCACTTACTTGTTTTATACCATTTATCATTGAGTTGACTAGATTTTGACATATTATTTAATTCTTCATCATGAAACCATGCAATGTATATTAAATGTGTTTTTGATGAAGTCTGTTTTGACAGGTGTACATGTTTCTCTTCATAGAACTGAATCTGTCCTATACCTAGGTTCCTTTCTTTCAACCCTTCTCTTTCTGTGTAAAGTTTTATTGGTACCTTTTATTTTTTTACACTGACCATTTTCCAATATATTCCCAACTTCATCTTGTAGAACTTTCCCTTGTAACTCAGAAAAATACTGAAGTAAAACTGCCTACTCATGTGACCAGCTCTCTTGCTTAAAAGTCTAAATCTAAAGATGTAGCTTAGGGGTGAACTTTACCAGCAGTTAGATGTCAGCTTTTTAATCCTCATCATTTCTGCAGCCCCAAGGAAAGGAGCTTGTGTCTGAGCCAGAAAGAAGAACCAGCCCAGGTACAATGCCCCAGAACACTGTGACTTCACACCTTGTAAAAGAACTCACAGCCTGTCAAAGACACAGGAGGGTTAGGCTTGGGGTAAGATTAGGGTTAGGGTAGAGAGGCCTGCTTGGGTATATCCACATGATCAGACCAAGAGGAAATTCAGATAAAATACCATAAGAAGACTGGAAGATGAAGACATTACTTTTAGCTAGCTTTGAAAAAAGAGAAGGATTTTAAGAAATAGAAGTGGTGACGAAATTCATTTAAGGTGTGAAGAATGGCTTACATGAGTCCTTAGAGCTGTGGTTTTAGGGAATCCAGATCTACAGTGTACCTTTAACCTGCCAGAGTGGGCAGAAGCAGCTCCATGCAGTGAAGAGTGCTAGCTTCAGAATGAGAGAATCCAAGTTTGAATTTTGGTTCTGTCATTTGCTAATTATATGACCTTGGACAAGTCACTTGACCCACTCTCTGGGTTTCAGATAGCTCAAATATGAAGTAAGAGGCTTGATCCAGATGGCCCTAGATCATCTTCAGTCTCTAATTCATGATCCTGAGATGGAGCAGTATGGAAGAAAGCTAGAAATCTACATTGGTGTTACCTTGGAAAATGCATGGTGCTCACCGTCTATGAGGTAAGAGAGGCCTCTCTACCCTAACCCTAAGAGAGGAAGCTGAGTCTATATGATTAAGAGGTTGGAGCATTTTGTCTCCATTGCTAAGTGAGTTACTCAGCTTTCCACTACCCTTTTCCTTTTCAGTTACCCTAAAATGAGAATGAGAGCTGCTGGTGCGTGGATAGAGTGCTGTGTGTGGAGTCAGAAAGATCTGAGTTGAAATCTGGCCTCAGACACTTACTAGTTGTGTGACCCTGGGCAAGCACTTAACCCTGTTTGCCTTAGTTTCCTCATCTGTCAAATGAACTGGAGAAGGAAATGGCAAACCACTCCAGGGTCTTTGCCAAGAAAACCCCAAATGGGGCCACAAAGTGTCAGGAACAACTGAAACAAATGAACAACCAAAAATGAGAACATTTCACTGTCTACCACTGCATACTGTGTGTTTGACTTACATAGCCAGTCATTTTTCAAGTGAACAATGGAATGTTCTTAGCTCATGGCAGGGCCTCTCAGAGTCATCAGACAATATTCTTACATCTATTTTGTACCACTGTACACTGTGGTGCTTTTTAAAAGACAAAACAAAACAAAAACCCAACAACCTCAGTTACAACCCAAGGTTTAAAAGTACTAACTAAATTAACAGAGGGATTCTGCCTTTGGAAGACATAGAAACTGCCTTATTTTCCATTGTAAAGTGCTTAAAGAGAGAAACTGAGGTTAATTAAACTTTTTTCAAAAATTTAATTAATTAATTTATTTTTAGTTTTCAACATTTACCTCCATAAGCTTTTGAGTTCCCAATTTTCTCCTCCTCCCTCTCTTCCCCACTCTCCAAAATGGCAAGCAATCTGATATAGACATTCCTATTAAACATAGTTTCACATTAGTCATGCTGTAAAGAAGAATTAGGGCTAATAGAAGGAACCACAAGAAAGAAGAAACAACAAAACAGAAGGAAAAAAAAGAGCAAATAGTATATGCTTCCATCTGCATCCAGACTCCACAGTTCCCTCTCTGGATGTGGATAGCACTTTCCGCCATGAGTCCCTGGGAGATGTCTTAGATCCTTGCATTGCTGAGAAGAGCTAGATCTATCAAAGTCAGTCATCACATAATGTGTCTATTACTGTGTACAACGTTCTCTTGGTTCTGCTCACTTCACTCAGCATCAGACCATATAAGTCTTTCCAGGTTTTTCTGAGGTCTGCCTGCGCATCATTTCTTATAGCACAATAGTATTCCATTACATTCATATACCACAGCTTGTTCAGCCATTCCCCAATTGATGGGCATCCCCTCAATTTCCAATTCTTTGCCACCACAGAAAGAGCTGCTATAAATATTTTTGTACATGTGGGTCCTTTTCCCATTTTTATGATCTCTTTGGGATACAGCCCTAGAAGTGCTACTGCTGGGTCAAAGGGTACACACATTTTTATAACCATTTGGGCATAGTTACAAATTGCTCTCCAAAATGATTGGATCAGTTCACGACTCCACCAACAATGCATTAGTATTCCAATAATTACACTTTTAATAACAAGAACCAGGATTTTTTTTTTACAACACAGCATTCAACTCTAGCTATTTACGCTGAAGATAAATTGACATGTTATACCATGTCATTACTTATATTTGAATACCCTTTAGCAGTCACTGGGAAACATTAGCTCAGGACTTGGAAGGACTCCTTTAATGGACCCTGTCAGAGCTGTAACTAGGGTGGGATCACTAGAGATTTTCTCGAGGTCATAGAGATTCAGAAGGCTCTGATGACATTTAATTTTGTTCAGCAGAGAGAAACAACTGAGCTTAGCACATAGTCGGCAAGAATAAATAGTTAAAATAGGATGTCACCAGATGTCACCTTCATCACCTAACATTCCAGGTGAGCTCCTTGCCACCCCTGCCAAGTTCTTCCCCCTTCCCCTGATGCCACCAATAGCTGTCTCCCGTCAGAGGTCAAATCATGACCCTACCCACAGTGTCCAGTGCTCTGGAGTCTCTACCTCACCCCAAGACAAACTGAATTTTTCTTGATTGAGTGCATGCTTCAACTTCTCATGCCATAGGTGCCCAAATGACTAGTTATAGCTCTGTGCCTGACCTATATTTTTTTTGGAAGGGCAACTTGCTAGAAATAGAGCTGACTACAAATTCTTGCCAGGTTGACATAACATCTCCCCACCTCAATTTCTTCATTTGCAAAATGGAGATAAAAACTATTTGAATGATCTACCTCTCAAGGTGACTGTAAACCTTTGAAAACCTGAAAGAGGCGTATCAATGAATTACTGTCGTTTAAGTGCTTAGCATGGTGTCTGGTTCAGAATAAATGCTTAAGGAATGTTTTCATTCATTATACACCACCCAGGGCAGGCCAGAACATGGATTTTGATGACTTAGAATGAGATTTAGCACTTGTATCTTAAGTATGTTTTTAAACACTAATGCTAGGGACAGCTAAATGGCACAGTGGATAGAGCACCAGTCCTGGAGTCAGGAAGACCTGAGTTCAAATCTGGCCTCAGACACTTGACATTTAACCCCATTGCCTAGCCAAAAAAAAAAAACCCACTAATGCTGACCACATTTCAGGAATGCATTTTTAATCTCCGTTTTACAGGTGAAGAAGCAAGAAGAAAACAAACAAATAACTTGCTGAAAGTTTTTTACAAATCAATGGCACAGTTAGACATTGATTTCAGGAAATACTGTTTTATTAGACCATCATCATCATCACAATCTAGTACAAGACCTATGAACTGGAAGGAACAGAGCCACTCTAGGGTGGGTAGGGTAAATGAAGTTGACATCTTTAGCAATCATAGAGTCTTTCCAGGGACTCAGTCATGTCTGGAATTTTGTACTGAGTATAAGCTGGACTGGGATAGGGTGATGTGTCCAAGCTCTGGGCAATTGGTAGATGCTGAATAAATGCTTGTTGATTAATTTATAAGGGAAATTCAGAGAGCATAAAGCCAGAAAATGGTACCATCCAGGCATGGTAGAGATTGGATTGGTCTATAATCATAGAATTTATTTTGCCTATTTGCTGCATGAGTTTTTTTTTTTATTTCAATTATGGGTAGGAGAAATGGAAGAGAAAAATAAATACATATTAACTAAAATAAGATATAATTAAATCACATTTTAAAAAGAATTATGGGATTAGGTTAAGATATCCCGTCTGATGGATCCAGAGAACAGAAGAACAAGAGACAAGTTTAGACATCAAGCACAGAGCAGTAACAAACAGAGAGGTCTAGGGCATGTGTTCTGATACTTGGATTAGCCAATATACATGCCCAGCATCTCACAGAGATAGCTAAGTGGGCTCACTGGATAGAATGCTGTTCCTGGAGTCAGGGAGACTTGAGTTCAAATCCAGCCTCAGATACTTGCTAACATTTAACCTCTGCTTTCCTCAGTTTCCTTAACTGTAAAATGTGAAAACATAATATCCCCCATCTCCCAGGGCTGTTATGAGGATCAAATGAGATGATGTTAGTAAAGCATTTAGCACAGCGCCTGTTACAAAGGAGATGCTTAGTAAATTCTTATTTCCTCTCCTCTCTCATTGAAAGGAACTTTAGAGGTTATATGGAACAACCTTAAGGACAATTCTTTGTCACTTCAGCCCAGAATATTATTCTGACTCATATAGCTTCTACAGACCTCAGTCCTTACTAATGTTATCCTTACCCTTGTTTTCTCAAAGTATAAATTACATCAGAGTGCAGCAATATGACTCCATTAGCTGTATGCCAGCCAGGTCATTTTTAGTGATGAAGTCAAAAGGTTTTCTCTCAAGTCCTGGGCTGAGCTAAAGAACATGCCACCCACAGGATAAATCAGCTGTTTGTTAGAGGAACATTGTGCCCTCTCTGCCCACACGATCACTCCTTCATCCCTTCAGTCTCCAGGATACAAAGCACACGTTGTAGTTTCCTCCATGTAGGAGAAGCTCCGTCACCGTTCAGGACCAGCCCTGGATGGGACGATCCAACAGCAAATGGGGGTGCAAGCTTTTTCTATAATAAACACAAGTCATCATACGCATGTAGCCTATGGCCTAGAGACAACCCTGGTCTTCAATGTGTTTGCCTAAGACATGGAAATCCGTTCTCCTCTACAAAGGAGGTTCAGGAGCATTGTCTGTGAGCTCTCCTTGGGCCGAGTAGGCATGACTGTGCATGCGCATGTCATGTGCTTCTTTGGGGATCTATCTATGGCCTCGCTGTTGACTTCCCTTGGACTGGGAAAATTCACTTTTAGGTACTCTGTGATTAGGCCATGTGGAAGCACTTATCTACCACTGCCATATTTTTATACCACAGAAACTGCTCCTGGGTGGCTGAGGAAAAGGGAAAAGGAATTCTTCCTTCACCTCAGAACTATGCCAGAAAGAGAGAGAAAGGGAAAAGGTGAAATGATAGAATAGAAAATGCTGTGTCCACTTGAGAGTAGGCTGTTGTTTTCCTTTATAGGCTGGTTCAAAAGTGGTAGCTCCTGTCATAAGAATGAATATCAACCACCTAGACATCTAGGGGAATGGGACAGGTTAACACCCCATGGAGACCACTGAGGTGTTGAATATTGGTTTTTAATAAGATCCCAGTGCACAAGTCAATAATCTATGGGGAAGAGATTTGTTCAAATTAATAAGGGAATCCCTTGATCAATCCCCTATTGAGCACATATATGTCAATTACATAATCAGAATGGTTCAATAAGGATGAAGTATTGCAGATGTCAAGGTTAATATCAGGGCTTGCCCATTCTCAGAAAAGTAATTCGGTAATTTAACACCTTTATTGTATGAACCCCATGCAGATACAAGGTGGGGCCAGACACTTAATTTAAAGTTGGGAAACAGTTCAAATATATCTCTATAAGTTGAGCTAATGAGGTCTCCTGTATCATAACACAGGGTAAAGATATTAAAGGAGCAAAAATAATCACAAAAAGGAGAGCTCTAATGAAAAAGTAATCTGTTATTAAGCTCTAAA